GTTTTACGCTTTTATACAATTCACGTATGAAATAAAGAAAAAAATCTGTGCATGAGAGAAAGAGTTTAATCACAGACCAATCACTAAATTTATATTCAAATTTATTTTTCATTATGATTGATTCTTCAATCTTCCCTACTCTTTCACCAGTAGTGATACCATCTTGATCTACCACCCCCCCATCTCCGCCTCTTGCTTTTTGGCATCTTGTATACTTTGTTGGTACTTCTGGGACAGTATTCTGCTGTAATATCTGCCTCACTGTCCTGTCTCTGTAACATTCTACAAAGAGCATTGCCCCCCCCATGTCGACCATTCACACTGCTTCATCTATAGTGTTATTTCTTTGTTCATAGCAAATTCAACATGCATACACCAAATAAACCCCACCAGTCTCTGACTACCCAAGATTCTGTGTTACATCACGCACAGGAATCTTATGTACTTAAGCCTGGTAAGAACTTGGTTGCCATAGTAACAACACCACTTGGCTGCCAGGTATGACACGTTCTATACATACCGTATCAAAAACTGACGGATTCCTTGGTTTCTGAGACAGACGGGACTTTGAACAAGCAGATTTCTTTTGCAAATGGTAGAAAAGATTTTCCACATTACAAAATTGATTTTACACATGGTTCCTTTGAGATTTAAACTTTTTGAGCTTTGTAGATTTTATTACTTGCAGGCTGCCAATGAAATGGTCATTTGTCATGATTTAAAACACCTTCTCCAAAGAGATTTTACAATAATTAGCCTTATCTTTCAGTTATTTATAATAAAACATTGAAGACTTCAGTATCTATTACATTTAATGTGTATTTTATGATCTTTGTTGTCAACAAAAATTATTGTCATTATTCATAGAAATCGATTTTATTTGCCCCGAAGAAGAACTACTATGAAATGAGAAAATATATTTTTGTGTAAAAATTGTTTTGTTATTTCAATTTTTCAATGCAAAAGAATTCATTTCTTATCTAGGTATTAAAAGTAAAAGAGAAATTATGATCTTACACTAAATGGTTACAAATGATAATTGTTACTATCAAAGAAACTGCAATACTAGAAACATTTATTTTTTAAACCTTACATGGGATAAATAAGTAGATATACCAAATTTGAGGAATTTACATGAGAGTTTAACCGGGTCAGAAACAGAAATTCTACTCAATAATTTGGTTCTCTGTGTTATTCTAGACATTTTTTCTCACCAAATCTATCATACATATTTACATGTCTATCATTTGTCCATGCTTAGAATGTTGCTGCCACATATAGTCTGGTGCTCCATTATTTAGAGATTCTTGATAAAATCCAAGGAAGAATCCGCAAAGTCATTGCACCCTCTCAGACTAATGTTTTTCTGCTGACATGAAGTGGTAAGATTATAGTGAATCAATTGCTAAGTCTGCTGTTAGGAAAGTTGATTCCCTGTGGTGTGCTAGACAATTTTTCTCGCCAGAATCTATTTTAAATATTTATAAGTCTACCATTCATCTATGCTTTGAATATTGCTGTCACATCTGATCTGGTGCTCCTGCTATATATTTAGAGATTCTTGATAAAATACAAAGAAAAAACTGCAATGCTATTGTTCCTGGCCTGGCATCTCTGATTTACTTTACAGTTACTTACCCCCCTGCCATAATGTAGCTTCCCTGAGCCTTTCCTATAATTATAATTGTTCTGATGAACGACTTTAAGAATTTAAGCACAGTACTAGATTGGTGGCAAGGTTTCATTTTACATTTGAAATGCCGAGATGTAACTGTAAGTTCTATGCTAACAGTTTCTTACACACAATTGTCACTTGTGGATCTTCTGGTTCTTGCTTTCCATTAAAGTTTGATTTTCAATACTAAATACAATATTAATTGTTATCTTCTGCCTTCTTAATTCCTGTTCTTCTTAATGTTTTCTTGTATTCTCTCACACTCAGTAATCTCCCTACATGTTAGTGGCTTTGTTGCCTTGCTTGGGGTGAAATGATAAAAAAAAAATAAATAAATAAAGAGCTCTGGAAAGTTCTGGGAGAAATATAATAAAATCTCTGTTGACAGTTTACATTGAAATATTTATATATATATATATATATATATATGATATTAAAGATTATATATATATATATATATATATATATATATATATATATATAAAGAGATTTATATATATATATATATATGATATTAAAGAGATTATATATATATATATATATATATATATATATATGATATTTAATATATATATATATATATATATATATATATTAAAGAGATTATATATATATATATATATATATATATATATATATATATATGATATTTATATATATATATATGATATTAAAGATTATATATATATATATATATATATATATATATATAAATGAGAGTTTATATATATATATATATATATATATATATGATATTAAAGAGATTATATATATATATATATGATATTAAAGAGATTATATATATATATATATATATATATATATATGATATTAAATTATATATATATATATATATATATATATGTGTGAAAAATGTATATAAATAAATATATATATGTATGTATGTATGTATGTATGTATAATTATTTATATATTATATACATGGTACTTATTAGAAAGCACTCAATATCAGAGATAGAGCTAACATATATATCCAACCAAATAATATATATATATATATATATATATATATATATATATATATATATATATTTAATATCATATGATATTAAAGAGATTAAATATATATATATATATATATATCTCAACCTGTAAATATTGACATTTGATGTAAGTAAATTTTTAACTTTGCATATGACATTTAGCTTTTTATTATTTACCTTTACTTATATTTTTTATACCCCCCCCCATTGTACTTTAGTCAGGCAAGCAGATACGTTGTATGATTCTGGGTATAAATTTGCTGTAGGGGATTTGAAAAGTATTGCACTTTCAATATGTTTTTGCATTAATAAATTTATTTTCCTTTTACTCAGAATCCTACATATTTACACTATTTAACATTGTTCAGACTGATGTCTTCATCTTTATTTCCATATGCATGATGTTTTGGCTGTTTTATGCCCCGATCTTTAGTCCATGGGTGTAGATTGTTCTAATTCCAGGTGTATATCTTTTTTTTTTTTATATCTCATTATCAGTTAACTCCCTTTAGTATTTCAAGTATTTGTTCTCTCTGCTGTGGCCACGTATTCACAACTCTTTGGGTCAGCATTTTTTTGGATTACTCAACGCTTTTAAAGGACACATGGCCCAGTTACCATTTGTTAAGTGGAAATTATGATTAAACGTATTACAATAAACAACTAATGCTTTGAGTACTTTGTAAAGAATTCCTTTTGGGTTCATATAAAACAAAATATAAGATCTCATGTATTTACTGATCTGTAAAAATGTTTTTCTATTATCACAAAATTAAAAATAGTCAAATATTACACTATTTTGTTATTATGAATAGGAAACTATTTGTGAATTGGATAAGTTGCGGCCAACTGTGGTACAAAAAACTGTCCTCATAAATATTTAGTATAAAGTCAATTTATGAGAGTAAATTTTATTCTGAAGATGACAGTTTACTAAGATTGCTACTACTGCGGTCATTTCTCCTCTTACTATGACATAGTATACAGAGTAAGTTCTCAGCTTGACCAAGATGAAATTCCAACCAAAATTCTCATGTTTGGTCATTTAGTCTGATTTTGGAAAGTGGTCTGGGTTGAAAAATTTTCAACACTATCTCTTCCTCTCAGATATATATATATAATAAAATGTATTATTTTAACACCTATACTAGACTGGTGTGAAAAAAAAAATCCTGGATAGTACAATTTGCAGATAAAAATATATTTAAATAAACTGATATCAGGGAAAAAAATTCAGTTAAGAAAAAAAAAAAAAAAAGACTAAAAACATCCATGTTGGCTGCAAAAAAAAAGCTATGCCCTAAATATCTGTTAGGTGAAACCTTGGTAGGTAGATCCTGGCTCACAAGGTGTACATATGTGTGTGTATATATATATATATATATATATATATATATATACATACACACAGAGAGATTAACATATTATATTTCTGAGGATATATATGTTGCGTTGGACAACCTATTTTAAATTGTGAAATTAATGTCAACTGTGAAATTGTATTATAGGAATCAAATATCTATTTCCTTTTTCCATTTGGGAAACCATTCTTGTACTGAGTGTGGCTTACTAATTAGTCCATAGGAAAAATAAAGTAAGCTTTAATTAGCCTATTGAAGAAATGGTCATCTCTCATTTAACAAATTTTGTGGGTGCAGATCCATGGTCTCTCAAGACAAACAGATGCCATTTGAAACCTATCTACTAACGTTATTGTCATACATGGAACTTCAAAGGAATTTATAAACAATGATCTGTTTTTGTTTTTTTTTTTAAATATTTTTTCAAACTACAAGAGTGATATTTTGTGGCTGCAAATGTTTGAGTTGTCATCCATTTTATTTTAAAGAGATTAATAGAAAGAGCGTGTGTATGCCAAATGTGAAATGGAAGATACTATGAGATTCTTTCCAAGGTTGGGGAGTCACCAATTTACAACCTCAGAAGACCGGGATTAATTAGTATAAACAACTAGTGATAAATTCAGCAATTCCAGGTACCAACAGGTGGGTGACTACACAGAGTATGATTAACAAGTTTCAAGAAGTTTTTTGAAAAATCATTTGAAAAGATAGACTATTGTTACAAGGAATAAACTTTTACTACACAAAGTTAAAAGAAATCTTGACACCAAAGTTGATATGAGAGAGAAAAGGAAAAAAAAAGGGAGGGAGGGAAAGAGAGAAAGAGAGAGAGGGAGAAAGAGAGGGAGAAAAAGAGAAAGAGAGAGAGGGAAAAAGAGAGAGAGGAGAAAGAGAAAGAGAGAGAGAGGGAGAAAGAAAGAGGGAGAGAAAGAGAGAGGGGGAAAAGAGAGATTCAATTTAAAGAGAGAGAAAGAAAGAGAGAGAGGAGAAAGAGAGAGAGAGAGAGAGGGAGAAAGAGAGGGAGAAAGAGAGAGAGGGAGAAAGAGAGAGAGGGAGAAAGAGAGAGAGGGAGAAAGAGAGGGAGAAAGAGAGAGAGGGAGAAAGAGAGAGAGGGAGAAAGAGAGAGGAAGAGAGGGGAGAAGAGAGAGGAAGAGAGGGGAGAAGAGAGAGGAAGAGAGGGGAGAAGAGAGAGGAAGAGAGGGGAGAAGAGAGAGGAAGAGAGGGGGAGAAGAGAGAGGAGGAGAGGGGAAGAGAGAGGGGGGAGAGGGAGAGAGAGGGAGAGAGGAAAGAGAGGAAGAGAGAGGAAAAGAGAGGATAGTGAAAAGATTTTAAAAAAGAGAGAGAGGGATAGTGAAAGAATAAAAAAGGAGAAAAGAGAAAGAAAAAACGCAGAGAAAGAAGAAAAAAATGCAGAAAAATGGAGAGAAAGAAAAAAAAAAAGAATAAAGAAAAGTTCTCTTACATTTCTCACTTGTGGAACTCTTTTCTGGTTTCTCAGTCAACACTGATCTTCAAAAATTCAAATGTCATGTCAATTGTTATTTTGTGCTTTCTTAATTCCTGTTTTTCTCCTTTAATAATGTTTTCTTTTTCTCATATTCTCTCACACTCAGTAACCCCAGGGCTCTCTGGAGAAAGAGAGCTCAATGCCATATTAACTGCCAGAGTCTTCAGATTTCACAACAAAAAAGAATTTCCTGGTAAACAACTACAACTAAAAGTGGCAAGCATTTTCACACCTGGTCAGAAGTGGTTATGATCAATCACAAGGATTTGTTTTGTAAAACATCAAATCTGTACCAGTTAATATTGAGCTTTCTTTCACTAGTGTGTGTCTCTCAAGCAGGCTCCATTAAAACTTGCTTATTTTATCGATTTTTATGCTCTCTTATATGGCACACTTTCAGGGCCTGAAATTGTCAGGCACTATTTTGCTTTTTAGCATTATGCTCCATTACTGAAGTTCTACTGTTCCCCATGATATCAGGCACACTACTATTATCATACCCACCCACCACCTCCATTTGTAAGAAGGATGTTCCTTTCAGGCAGCTTCTTCCCAGGAGCTTATAGTTTGTATGACAGACTCCAGAGGGATTGCTTCTCCAATCACAATATATTAACCTCTTCAAATCCAGAGTCAACTATTTTCTATCCTACATATCCTCATAATCTATAATTGTTGTATTGGCTGAACAATGGTATAAAAATAAAATACATATGCATGCATGCACACTTACATGTATATCTCTCTTGATTGAGTTATGATCTGGCTTGAAGCAATCAAATGTCTAGCCACACTGATGAGCTGTGATACATACAGCAAAACAGGCTGTCTGTGGATTTAATACACAAAATCTGAAAACCACCTCATATGGGGAATAAGATTATTTTGACTGATGACAAAAATAAAATTTGTCAGTCTTATTCAACCCCAGTATAGACCGAGTTAATGTTGGAATTAGAAATTTAACTGTGAAAGCTTAAAAAATAAAAAATAAAATAAAAAAAGTTAAAAAGCTAATACAGAATTTATCCATTTCAATGTTTCAGTCAGACGAAAGGCACGAGGCAGTGGTCAGGGGAGGGTGTAAGTTATTTGTCTTAAAGGAAGAAGTTTTATAAAATTAATATATATATATATATATATATATATATATATATATATATATATAATATTAGTGGAAAATATACATACATATGAAAAATATATAAAAAAAATTTCCATACATGTATATTTTCAGAAAAAAATTTTTCCAAGAGGAAGGATCCAGGTAGAACTCAATGTCTAGGACAGAGTAAGGATATAATAAAAAGGCTTAAACACTAATATTCCATGGTATATATATATATATATATATATATAGTTTTAAGATATGCTATATTTATGGGTTAAAATGCACAGTATCAGGGGTAGAGCATATATAAATATAAAAGTGGACACCCATAGTCCATGTCATACTGATAATTGTCAGGCAATATTAATCAAGGGGGTTGCAATTATATATATATATATAGATAGATAATACCCAGTGACTAACATACATTGGAGGTATATTTGTATATATTTTGTCAAGTGTATACAGGTGAGTAGGTTTTGTCAAGGAGAAAATAACATTTCATTGTTAAAACAGCAGAACTTAGAGAGCATTGAACCATGTCACAATAGAACAGAATTGTATAAGACAAGATATCTGCTCTCTCTCTCACAGACATACATACACATTTGTATGTGTGTGTGTGTATATATATATATATATATATATATGCACACACACAGTGCAATGGGTAAATTATTACCATTTTATATTTTTTATTGTGTGCATGCACAGTGTTTGTTTTTGTCAACTGTACAGTATAGTAGGGTCAGTTGGGGAGCATCTATGAGAAAAAGAACACAATGATGCAATTGACTGCCAGAAATTTAAAAGCAGATTGCTGTATTTCTTGGCATTTACACTGGAAGCTCTAATATGAACATTTCAGAGTGTTTGGGTGTCAATCTGAGAACAGTGCAGAGGATTTGGAAAGAGTTGGATGAGTCTGATGGTGATTATGGAAGTGTTTGATACGATCAGTGATGGCAACATTATGCCTCCATTCATCTTCCCACAGGGCTTCAGATTCAACACAGAGGCCTACATCAAGTGCTTTGAGGAAGTAGTGCTACCTTGGATCAAGAGAGTGGCTGCTGGAAGACCCAATATCTGACAACAGGACTCTGCATCATGCCACACAACCAAGAAAACCCAGTTATGGCTGTCAGACAATTTCTACAACCACATCACCCCTTACATTTGGTTACCTAACTTCCCAAACTTCAACCCTCTTGATTATTGTGTGGGGTGTAGTTGAGCAAGAGACCAACTAAACTTCTTGCAACACCAAGGATGAACTGAAGGCAAGGACTATGGCAGCATTCACCTATTAAACAAGGAGACTGTCCAGAAGAGTTGCAGAAGATTCCAAAGTCATCTCGGTGCTGTGCTTGAAAATAATGGTGATTTTATTGAATAAATTTATTCTTTAGTATTTCAAGATATTTTTGTGTAACCTTGGTAAATATTATGTATACTGAGAATAGCTGGAGAATGAACCCATCAAAACAAAAAGATACTCCTTAGCATAATCTATAGAATAACAGTAATTAATTTCTATAGATTGAACAATATTTGAAATGACTGCAGAAATCTAGAAAATAGAGAATCCAAAATGTGTTTGAAACGCAGATGAAAGTATAGTGTAACCCGGATATAAGAGAGTTGTCGGGACCAAAGAAGAAGTCTCTTATATTCAGGTTTCTCTTATATCCGGTTTTGGTCTATTTTGTTTAGGTAAGTATGGCTCTAATTTGGGACCAGAGAAAATCTCTCTTATATCCGGTTTTCTTTATATCCGGATTGAACTGTATTAACATAATCTATAGACGAATGACTACAGTTCAACCCGGATATAAGAGAGATTTTCTCTGGTCCCAAATTAGAGTCATACTTGCCTAAACAAAATAGACCAAAACCGGATATAAGAGAAACCCGAATATAAGAGAATTATTCTCCGGTCCCAACAACTCTCTTATATCCGGGTTACACTGTATTAATAAAAGTAAATGAAAAGAGGAAAATCTTTTATGCCAATGTGCTTTGTTCCTTGAGGAACTTTATCAAGACTAATGTAGAAGTTTATTTAGTAACCTGTATTTATACACAAAAATAATCAGGAGAAAAATAACATTAAGCATTTAAATTTTGAAATATTCTAAAATCTTACTGTATAAAAGGAAAGATAAACTATTAAAAGTTATTAATGCTTCATCTAAACAGCTGAGACAATATTTTCTGTTTTAATAAAAGAAAGCTTATCTGTTGAAATAAATCCCTCACATTTCAGTTTGAAATTACTTAATTTTTTTTAACTGACCAATTAGAATTAAATGTCAATTTCTTGCACTATGAATATTTTGATTGGATGGTATTTTTGGAATGTGAACTTGGGAATTTGTGGGTAAATTATTTTCTGAAACATGGGCTAATTGATTTCATAGAGTTGCAAAGTATCTTTTGTGGCTAAATGACATTGGAAAATCAGTGGAAATGCCATTTTTAGAGCAAGCAAGAAAGAAAAACAGGAAAAAATAGTCATTAGAATAAATTTCCTGGATTTTTGTTCATTATTTCAGGAGAATTTCTTTCTTCTCCAAACAGCCAATGGAGCCTGACTGATGTCTCACTTAATAGATGAGAAATGACATTTTTGCTAAAGAGAAGATGCTTGGCATAAATCAGTGTTGAAAACTGCCTTGCAGGCAAGAGAAGCTCAGAGTGACTCGTCAGTGGAGCTATCACACCTGATTATTGAAAGGATTATTTCTTAGAATCCAACCAAAGATTTGGAAGAAGATAGCTAATCGAAGACATTCTGTTGCTCAGGATATTCAATTTGTTGGAAAGAAAAGAAAAAGAAAGGGTTTTTTTTTTGTTTTCTGACAAAATGTATTTGTTTTACTAAAAGTTATATCGGATATATAGACAGGTATATATACAACTCGTAAATTGTACATTTTATGAATATATAAGCATTCTAACTTTTAAGGAAGAAGAAAATAGTTTTGTCTCAATATCCTGGAAGGGAAACACAGTTTTGACTTGAAAATCAGCTTCTAAAATCAGAATCATTTCATGAGATTGTCAAAAGAAAACTCATCAATATTTGATCAAACAAGCAGATGCCTTAACTGACAAAAGATATATAGATGTAGACATCCACCAATCTTGAAAGACTGTAACATCTACTCAGGTGGCTAGTTAATCCTTGTTACTGACCTCTGCTCAGGCACAGAGCCAATTAAAATTTCAGGGAAAGCATGCAAAATTTAGCAGGAGTCCACTATGCTAGTAACTCGAATCATTTGCCACAATGACTTGTGACTTTACTAGTACAACCAACAGTTTCCATATATTTTCATCATACCAATGTCACTCACGATGATTGGGTTAATCCATCATGTGGTTTTCAGGCATGTCCCTATTTTGCCACACAATGGGGTTGCTTCTCTAAGATTATATTGTGAAGAAGCCTCCTCCTTGAGAAATTTGACAATAGTGGGATTTGAATCCAACTATCAGAATGTTGACATTTTAATCACATGCTCATATATAGATACTTCAGATTTTACTAGCTTACAAATGTACTGATTACTAGTGGGATGTATGATTTCATTTCACCCATGTAGGGAAAATTAGCCTTGAAAATCAACATTCAAAATCTATTGTTTTATCTGAGTTCAGATGATCATATGAAAGAGGACAGCATGCAACTATTTTGGCCACTAATTAAATGCATTTGATCAAATACAGTGGCACACAGATGAAGGTAAACAGAAATGTTAGATCAATTTCTCGCAATCTAACCAAATAACCATTCAGACAAAACAACAAGTGTTATAAAAAAGTATTTTCATGTTTAGTCATTCAGGTGGATTACTGGAAGTGAGAGCAGCTGAACTGAGAAATTTTCATCACCCCCACTTCATTCATTTGTGTGTGTGTGTGTGTGTGTGTGTGTGTGTGTGTATTGGAAAGAGAGAGATTCATAAAATGTATAACACACTCATGTAAATTTGGCATGAAGTCACCTGGGGATGGTAAGAAAGTCTGTATCAGTACAATTCATGAATATTCAATCAGCATATGAACTCGGCTCAATCATGACCTACTTTGATGAAATATGTGCCCATGATAGCCATGACTGAAAAAGATAGAGACGAACAAATGAATCAAGACACAAACACATAGATTTAAACAGATGAGAGAGAGAGAGAGGAGTAGATCAGGAAAAAGTGATAGAAAAAACAGAGACAGATAAGAGATCAGTGTACAGATAGAAGTGAGAGAAAACCGACGAAAGAGGGAGAAAACTGATGAGGAAAAGTGATAGGAAAAACAGAGACAGTTAAGAGATCAGATGGAGATAGAAGTGAAAGAAAACAGATGAGAGAAAATAGAGACAGATAAGAAAAAAAAAAATATATATATATATATATATATATATATATATATATATTTAGCTGCATTTTTGCTCAAAGGCCATGCAAGATAGAGTTACTGAATGAGGCTATTGTACGAATGCAAGAGGAGGTGAGATCAATTGTTTATTTTTATAACCTAACCCTTTTGGTGTTATTTAAGCCTGAAATATTTTGGACTCTGTAAGAATGATTTTTTGTGAGTGAATCTTGTCTTAGCAATATTTTGAGAAAAATTATTTTTACAGATACAAGTCCTACTATTTAACCCATAACTAGAGGGAGGATATGGATTCATACTTTTACCAATGGTATTTGCATGTATGTGAACATAACTCAAGTGGAATTCACACTTAGCTGTTCAATTTTGCCTTCCAAGTCATTATCTATTATGCTACCTGCACATCCACAATAAGAATTTGTAGGAAAGACAATGTTTAACCCTAAACCTGAAGAACTTAAGTCTGTAATGATTGGGGAAACATTCTCTTGGGAGTCAGTTTCATAAAGCAGGTGTACTTGGGGAGGTGGTGTGTGAATGGAACCTTCTTTTTACAGTTGGAATACAGATAAAGATTAACTGATTTGTTTTCTATGGCTTATCAACCCTTTGCAGGCTATCTAAAGCCAGAAAATATTTTTTAAGATAGTAATGGTTTAGTGATACAAGTCTTACTAATTAACTCATATTTGGGGGAGAGGAGGTGGATTCATACATTTCCCATGAGTATTTGCACATAAGTGAATCTCTTTGTGCTTGGCGATTTCAATGGTCATCATGTCAAGTGGCTTCATCATTCTAATACTTGCTGGTATCCAAGCTCTGAATTTTGCAACTGCTCAAATCTCAGTCAAATCACAGATTTCTCTACTCCTTTCTGGCAGCCATATGCTTCTTTACTTGATTTGTTCCTTACCTCCTCTCTGGACTCTTGCAACTATTTGCTCTTGGCAATTTGGATCATGCTGTATTGTCTGTAAATATTTCTTTTCAATTGTCTATTAAGCAACAAGGAGGCATGGTGGAGTAATGGATAGCAGCTCGGATTGAAGAATTGTAGAGCCAAGTTCAAATTCCAATCAAATCCATTACATTCACTTACATGTTAATACCCTTGGGAAAGGCATGAAAGCTCCTCTCCTTCCTCCAGCTATGGGTAAATAACAGGATAAACCAGATTCTATAGCCTTGGATGGCAACTGGTCGACTGTAGAAAGAAATGTAAACTTACTGCAAGAATAAAACTGCCTCGTCAGTCATGTATCGAAAGATACCTAAGCGTGTATCATGCATGGCACATAACTGAATGATTAGACAACAACTCCCCCCACCACTATTCACAGAACAAAATTTTCTGACCAATGTACTGATTGCGATTCATTTCGTGATTTTCTCTGCAACACCTTTTAGAGGAAAATCTTTAATCTGAATATTACGCCATAAAGCTTTCTTCCTGGGTGAAAGTTAGCACTGATGCAAGCTAAACATCAATGTTTTGCCTCATTCAACCATTATGTCCAACAGGAATCACTTTTGACTATACCAGTATGATAGCTCAAATCACAAGACACCTTGTGTCCAGTCACAATAACTGTAAGCATATTCTCTATGGGGACAAGTCACTGTTTTGAGACACACCTAATAACCTCTCACAAGTTTGGTTCATATGATTACTGGTGGCTGTGTAAAAGTGTCTTAAAACAGGTTAAATCCTCAATCCCTCTTTTCTTCAGTAAGTTTGAAATGTCATCTACTGTTGAGAAAGCAGAATGCTTTGCTCATAAATTATTTTCCAATTTAACTTTTGGTTCCTCAGAAACATCTTTGCCTGATTTGCCTCCAGAGACTATACTGTATAATCATCTCCAAATTAGATGTTCACAAAAAGCAGGCAGACTTAAAGGTAACACTGCAATTATCCTAAATAAACACACTCCTCAACTGGCTCCTGTTCCCTACAACAAATGCCTTGATGCTTCTTGCCTTCCAGTTGTTAGAAATTATCTTCTGTAGCTCCTGTTTTTAAGGTTTCTGGTGAACTGTTTGGTCTTTGGAATTATCATTCTTTTAGTCTTCTATCTCTTTTGGTCAAAATGTAAGAGAGGCACTAATCAACTCTGAATTGGTTAAGTATCTTACTTCACACAGTTTCCTTTCAAACAAAAACATATGCTTTTCAATTCTTTAGGCTAACCACTGATGCATTAATCTTACTTATTATAAAACGCAGATTGTGTGTGTGTGTGTGTGTGTGTGTGTGTGTGTGTGTACGTTTATATATCGGCTCGGAATTTGTACATTTTTCAACCGATTTCAACAAAACTTCACAGGACTATGTAAAATTACCTTGCAGTGGTTCTGACAGCACCAAAAATTGGAAAAACAATTGTTTTTGCATGAAATCTATTTGAAAACATGATTCTGAAAGGGGGACAACTCATACCTAGTTATACTTATTATAAAACCCAGGTTGTGTGTGTGTGTGTGTTCATTTATATATGGGATCGGATTTCCTACATTTTTCAACCGATTTCAACAAAACATCACTTTTTTTTGGCAGGTAGTGTTTCTTATTGCCTTGCACACTTTTTTTCTTTATTTTTACATTCAGAATGCTTTAAAAATTCCATTTACAAGACAATTGTTTATAATAAAATTCTATTCAATCGGTAGACTCATAACGATTGAAAACAATGTTTTTGTTTGAGTTTGGGTTTGGCCGATTTGTAAAAAAAAACAAAACAAAACAACACAAAAAAAAATTAATTAAGACATGTGTGTCCGTCAATCTTAAACAATAATCTTTGTCAATTTTATTTTTCAGTCTTTATAATGGTCGATACTTGATCTATCTCTTACTGTTACATCCCCGGGCAATGCTGGGCTCTACTGCTAGTGGTTATTATTAAAAGGGTTAGTTAAGTTTTAGGTAAGAATGGCCAAAGCTTGTGCTGCAGCTTTAGATATTAAGAAGGTGTCTGTCAGGGTGGTTGGGTATGAGGATGGGGGCATGCTGGTCTTATTCACATGCTGAAGGGCTATGGTGTGTCTACCTGAATTTTTGATTTGATCTAGTCTTAACAAATCATACAATGAAAGTTCTGTTGAATAGTCATTCTTCTAGATCCTTTTGTATTAATGTGTGTCTACCCAGCGCCTCTCTCCTTGCAACTACTTAGTTTGTTTTTCTTTTATCTACATCAACAACATTCCCAATGTCATCAGTTCCCAACTGATGATAACTATTTACTTTATTTTTTATAGTAATTCTAATAGGTTTGATAAAGTAAAACTGGAAGCTGATCTTGAAAAATTACTTTCAATCATTTGTTAACTAGGGTGAGAAATAGCTTGTAAATTTTAATGCCTCCAAAATGAAACTGCTATCTTGTGACCATCACAGAGAACCATTTTTGACTGGAAAGAAGTCCATTACACCTTGATGGTTTATATTTTTCACAGACACGAAGTTGGAAAATTATATTGAATCAATTGCTAGATCTGCTGCTAAGAAAATTTGTTCACCGTGTCATCCCAGACAATTTTTCTCACCAAAATTCATCTTGAATGTTTATAAATCTACCATTCATCTCTGCACTGAATATTACCACCATATTTGGTCTGGTGCACCTGCTATATATATATATATATATATATAAAAATTCTTGACAAAATCCAAAGAAGAATTTGCAATGTTATTAGTCTTGACCAAGCATCTCAGCTTCAGTTATTTTCCCATCACTAACGTAGCTTCACTATTTCTTATCTATAAATATTTTCATGGCAATTGCTTTGCTCTCTCTGGTAGTAAAACCTCATGAATTTAAGTGCAGTACTAAATTACTAACTAGGTCTCTTCATTTTGCTGTTGAAATCGAACTGTAAGTTCTATTCTAATAGTTTCTCTCACACTTCTCACCTGTGGAACTGTCTTCCAATTTTTTGCTTTCAGGTTGATTAGAAGCTTCAAAAATTTAAATGTAATTTTAATCACCATCTTGACTTTCTGAATCCAGTTATTTTTTATCCTTTCTCCTCAATGAGGGTTTCTCTGTTTCTTTCACTCTAAGTAACTCCTTGTATATTGGGTTGAAATGACAAAAAAAAATGAATGGATTAGGATAGATATAATTTCAATTTTTCTTCACACTTCTCGAACTGTCAGTCCTTCTTGCTTTCCAGCCAATTTTGATCTTCAAAAATTTAAATGCAATATCAGTCATCATCTACTGTCTTCTTGATTACTCTTCTATTGTCTATTATTAATAATGTTTCTCTTTTTTCTTATACTTCCACACTGAGCAACTTTATTGCCTTGCTTGGGGTGAAATTATTAAAAAAAAAATAGATAACATACATAAAATACTGATGGAGGGCTATATATATATATATATATGTGTGTGTGTGTGTGTAAAGAGACAAATAGGCACAAGTAAAAGAAAAAGATATAGATAGAGCTGATGAGACTGAACAGATATATAAACCAAGTGAGATACGTATATAAATGGATTGAGATAGATATATCCATTTGATCAGATGTCAATAGACTGAGATACATCAACAGATAACATACATAAATTAAAATATTGATGGAAGACTAAGAGATAGGTTGGTAGGTACTTTGACTTCTAGAAAAACCGATAAAAAACAAGTAAATAAATTTTCTTGTTCTTTCTTTTGGAAAATGGCATCCTTTACAGAAAAGTCTTCAAGGCACATCTTAAAAATAATAAGTTACAAAGAATTTCCATTTCTAAAATCTCAAAGAAAAACCAAAAAAAAAAAATTTTTTTTCCTTTTTGTGTAGAGAGAGGTGGGGTGATAGTTGCCTCAGGTCAGAAAATTGATTCCTTTTTTATTTAGGAAATAAAGAGAAAGGATCAGTGCTTGAAGTTTCAGTCAAGCGAGCACTTTTACAAAGTAGCAGAATATTTGCCACAGAACACTCGAATATTCTTGGTAAATATCAGAACAATAATCTTCAAGGGAAGTGATGGTAGGGTAACAGTTATCAGGGTGGAAACTGGAATTGTTACGATGACTTCAAATACCAGCCAAATTTGTTGTATTGCACTTTTGCAATAATATCCTTGGGAAAGGTATGAATACATCTCTTCTACCAACTTAATGGGTTAAATAGACTGCTCTCTAACCTTGGCTGGTAACCAGTCTAAGAGAAGGACAACTGAATTTACAACAAGGGGAAAAGACAGTGAGAATCTATTCCAATATCTTTCCTAAGTATATGTGGTAATTCACAAATAATAGAAAAAAGTCATCTGTGGAGAGCAATGATTGCTTATGTCCTGAAAGAACTTGGCATTTTTTTTGTGTCTCCATAAGGGAGAGATTTGTTCATAGCAAGAATATACTGATAATAAAAAATTATCCGTCCATTAATTCATGAAAAACTAGAAAGTGGTATCATTGCTTATCACTTCAATGATTGACTTTAAAACATCAAAGACGCTTTCATGCATATTCTTGAATGGTTGAACTGAGGATATAGATATTTTCCAGTTTAATGCAAAGTGTCTATACTCCATTTGATAGAGAATATAAAAAATAAACTGGTTCCTTAATGCTAGTTTAGATTAAGAAAAAAAAAAACCTGAGGAGTTTCATTCAAGCTGTAGGCATCAGGTAATGCCCAGATTTTTCTTAAGTACAATGGAGAAATACTTTCTGGGGATGGATCCCCAATGTATAAGCTAACAACTTATGGATCTTTGGCCAAAAGTGGTGGGGGGGGGCGATTTGGCTGCTGTATCTCTCAAGTTGTAAGCAAGAACAAAGAGTTTTCTAAGTGGGAGAGAAAAATAGTGAAGAAAAAGAGAAACATGAAAAAAAGTAAACAATGAGGAGTAGGAAGGGAGGAGGAGAGAGGGACGGTCTCGCCGTGAGAAGGAGAGATGGATGGTCTCTCGGCGTGAACAGGAGAGAGGGAGGGAGGGAGGGGTTTGGCATGAGGAGGAGGGAGGGGGAGGGAGGGGGTTAGGAGGAGGAGGAGGAGAGGGAGGGGTTGGCAGGAGGAGGAGGAGGAGGAGAGAGGGAGGGGGTTGGCATGAGGAGGAGGAGGAGGGAGGGGTTGGCATGTGGAGGAGGAGGAGGGAGGGGTTGGCAGGAGGAGGAGGAGGAGGGAGGGGTTGGCATGAGGAGGAGGAAAAGGGGAGGGGTTGGCATGAGGAGGAGGAGGGAGGGAGGGGGTGGCATGAGGAGGAGAGAGAGAGAGGAGAGAGAGGGAGGGAGGGGGTTGGCATGAGGAGGAGAGAGAGAGAAACTGAGAGGTAATCTCAGCATGAGGTGGGTGGGAGTCTTGGAGTTAAGAGAGAGAGAGGGAGTCTCAATGTGAAGAAGTTGAAGAATGAATTGAAGAGAGCATAATCAGAGAAAAATAAAGAGAGGAGAAGGAAATCGAAAATGTCACAAGGAAAAAGAATAAGAAAGAGTGAACAATGAATAGAATTTAAAAAAAAAAAAAAAAAAGAATTAGAAACACGAAGAAGGAGAGAACAATTACTGCTTAGTGACTTAAAAGGCTAAACTTATATGAAGTCCATTAGTTGATATTTCCCTGGTGTTTTCTTTGATGTCATACAAGGTGAAATGGCAAAAATAGCCTGATTCCTTCTCTAAGGGAACCACAAGACACTTAATGCAGCTTAGGAATTCATTTTGGATAGCTGAGCACCAGCAACATCTTCTCTCCACTCCTGCTGGCCATAGGCACTGCCATTTTTCCCTGCACATGCCACTGGTCAACTCCTAAGTAACTTTAGATAAACCATCTTAATTTCAATGACTATGCAATTTAGGAATTCTATTTCCACAAGAGCAATAAGAAATAAGTCTATCCATTTGTTTCACTCTCAATACTTAATGTATAATACATTTCACTCATATTTTTAACATATTTAATTGTCTTAATATTTTTTCTCTCCAGAATGTATCTTCCATAAGTCTACCATTCATACATGCTTTGAATATTGCTACTATATATGGTCTGGTGCTCCTGCTTAGAAATCCAAAGAAGAATCTGCAATGTTATTTGTCCTGACCTGGCATCCCAGCTTCAGTCACTTTTCAACCCTAATAACCTAGCTTCCTGTGCCTTTTTCTATAAATACTTTCATGGTAATTGTTCTGAGGAACTTTGTAAAATGGTACCTAAATTATGAATTTAAGTGCAGTGCAAGATTGACAATGACGTCTCATCAATTTAGAGTTGAACTGGCTAGATAGAACCCTGTGCTAACAGTTTTTTTTTCATGCACTTCTCACTAGTGGAACTCTCCTGGGCTTCATGCTTTCCAACAAACTTTGATCTTCAAAAATTTAAATGCAATGTCAGTTGTTATCTGTCTTGATTACTCTTCTATTGTTCTCAATCCTTAATATTTTTTTCTTTTTCTTACTCTTTCACACTCAGTAACCCCTCATGTCTTAGTGGCTTTATTGTCTTGCTTGGGATGAAATGATGGATAGAAAAATAAGGAAATTAAACCAGATAAGAAAGTGCCTCCAGAAAGGAAAAAAACATGCATTTAAAGTTACACTGCTTAGAGAAGTAAGTCAGTCAGTAAACAAAGCCATAGCCAGCATTCATGTCTGAGGTGAGATGAATGTTCTTTACACTGTTTGATAAATGGAAGCACTTAGTAAAAATTAACTTTACCCTTGCATACTGGCAGGTATCCCTGAAAAAAATTCTAAGCATTGTTACTGTTCAAGTGCATTAGGGTCTATGGAAGAGGCACCATGGTCATTCCTGGTAATGAAACTGCACAAGAAGAACACGTGTTTCATCTGAGATGACGGGATTTCCAAAGCTAATCTGACTAAATCGTCAATGACCAGTCCTACATTGTAGAATTGCAAGATAAGTGACTTCTTTGACATTCTTGAACAGACTTCCTCCAATGGCTCTGAAGACAATATGTTGTCCTGGCACTTGTAGTGTTCTGGAATTAAGGAGACTCTCAGAAAATGGTAGCTTTCAGATGGTTATGGTACATTTCAAGTTTCTGAAGAGTAATTCCTTCATATTGCGATTATCTGGGCCATGTTGTGAATCTTATGCTAAACAAAAAGACCTCTTCAGTGACTCAATTACCTAATCTCAACATTTAAGATTTCCCCAAAATAAATGAACTAAAGCAAAGACTATATTCATTCCTAGACAGAGTGATTACCTTCAGATGAACACCTGTATGAACATGCACACTGATATGAATAAATGAACAAAGTGATCACTGTCAGATGAACACAGACAAATCTTATGATAGAAAAGACTGGTTTACTTGTCCATTGGAAACATTAACCATCTGTACTGTTACCCATTTCAAAAAACATACTATTGCTCACCTATTACAAGGACAAAGAGCCACTCAAAATAGGTTACTAAATAAGATTATTGTAAGAGCTGACAGAGAGGAGAATGAGAAATATATGTAGGATAGATAATCTCTTCAAGTCTAGGGTCAGCAGTTAAGATTGTAATGGTAATTCTTTCTAGAAAATGACAGTTATGCAGAGTAGAAGCTGCTTGAGTGGGACTTCCTCCTTACTAATGGAATACAAAGTCAATGAGATGATCCAGTGTCCACAGTTTGGCAGGTCCTTGTTGTGAAGACCTGAACTTATAGAATTAAAGAATGTATATCTTCCAAACATTTGCCTTGGAAATAAAAGATAAATTAGTGAGAGGCTAACAACATTTTGTCTTTGAGGAAAGGGGCTGCAGAGTGGAAAATAACTCATTACCCACAAAACCACATGAATGATAGTGGTTGCCAAATTTGCTTCCTTGCATACAAGCCTATGAATTGGACTCAATATGGATTAAAATCTAATAGAATGATAGAATAAGGAACAAATAGGAAATGTTTATAAATTTAATGTTTTGTTTTTATTTAATCTTCATTGAATTTTCTTAAATGAGTTATAGAAAAGAAAGTTCTGTTAACTTTAGTTCTGTTTGTTTTTCATTGGCCAAGTAGACCACATGTTTTGTTTTGTGGCATACGCATATGTCTTGATTTTAGCCAGTATTTTTGTGTCACTCTGGTAGCATGTCTGTGTATGTGTTTAATTCCTGAAGATGGTAGTGGGTTAGTGGAGTACCTCTATGTCTGTGTATCATATTTCTAGTTGAAGTTGGTTGTATGTGTGTGTTGGCTGGAGGATGTTTAGTTTGTACATGTGTTTGTTGGGGGTTGGTTGCTGTGTATTGAAGTGAAAGGTTACATCAGCCGCAGGTATATGGATCTTACATTCTTCAAGTATGGGTTTTATGAAAGTTGGTGATATGAAAAAAATATGTTTCTAGTGAGTGTTTTATTGATAGGAAGACATTAATACAAGCTTATAACAAACTGCATCATGGTAACTTTTCATGTTGTTTCAGAAGAAGTAGATACTAATTTATGGTTAACAAATTTCATGTGAAACTGGAACACATTTTTTATGTCTTATGTTGTGATGAACAAAAATGAATGAATGAATTTGATGTGTGTCAGCTTGTCACCATGTTTAATTCAGAAATACTCTGCTCCTCTTCAAAGACAAGGAAATTAAGTCAGTTGTATTTTGAGTTACCATCCTTTATAGGGGAGGGAAATTTAGCTTCTCTGAACAAAATAAAAACGGGTTTCTGATTTTTCAGCTACAATCTTCATGACTGGAATGATTGCCATTTTACTAGAGAGAAATCTGATGCAGTAATTAGATCAAGCTCTGTGTAATACCATGCCTTCAAAAAGAGGCTCAAAATAGCACAAATTACAATTCTTATAGGAGACCTTAAGACATGCTTTTGCACACTTTTAGCAAAGAATATTATGTCAAAGAAATCAAGAGGTCATATGGATAAATGAATATTTGTAAAGAGACATCATGTCAAAAAGTCACGAGAAAATCTGAAAATACCTACAATGGTCTACTGGAATATTTACATGTTAAATTACAGTGTAAGGTTTTCAGTGGAACCTTTTATGCAAAAGTACTGTAATAAATGGAGGTTAAATTGCAGCATCCATAAAAAATCTCGGCATTTCCATACAAATGAAGAAAAACTTGAAATGAAAGATATGTTGTTCTACAGACAAATATTAAGAGTAACAGAGAAAAACTAGACAAAGTTTTAAGGAAAATAGGAACAACACGGAAACTTATACTTCTGTTGTGGAGTTATTTCGCAGTGGAGGCTTGTATTTGTACTAAATCGGTCCTAAAATAGTTCGACGTACAAAACATCAGGAACTTGATATAACAGGTATTACATAGAGTAATCTTGTTGTGGTCGCTGACTACTTTCATATTCGACTGTCGACTACTGTCATCTGACATCGACTGACCCTCGTTTCTCTTATTACTCCTACTTATATTAGGTGAGAGAGTCTATTAACTATAGAATAGGTGTGTTTCACCATAACTTCCAATAAGAAAGAGCCAGCTGAAACTTCTGGCAGGTAATAATGAGATGAGGCCTAGTGATTTTAACACACCCATTGACATCCTTGAAGGCAAAGGATATAAGGAGAAGCAGCAAGTAAGCTATTTGATGAATTTGTGTGAATGAATGACAGAACAGAGACAAAGAAAGATGGTCATGGGTCAAAAACTAAAAAGAAATTAGTGGAGAGCTATAACTGTTCACATTCTGAAAGAACTTGGCATATAAAAGAAAATTAGAAATATAAATGAAGCCAGCTTTTAATTTTGGTTTATTACAGCATTGTCTCCCCTTATTTATTTGCAACTAATTATCAATTCTGTAAGTAAGAAATGACTTGGCATCAAACTTAAGGCAAATAATCATAAAATCCTTCTTCAAAAACATTTTAAGCAAGGAAAGCTGTTAAGGAAAGTCTTCTATAGAAAATTCAAGCCAGCTCTTGATTCAGTTACCAATATGTGTTATACATGTATATCCCAACAGACATGCTGAATCAATTTGTCAGACATCTACTTCCAGTCCAAGAAGCATTGGTTCTATGTTTTCTGATTTTCTCAAGAGATCTGGTCAGTTGATCTTAATTTTCTAAGAATATGCAATCAAGTAATTCCACGCTGAATTAAATCAATTCTTTGCTTGAGTAAAATTCACTTTGTAAGTTGTTTGGTAGATTTTGTTTAGTGGTATATCAACACCTCTATGGGTTATTTAATGAAAAAATCCAAATATTCTGAACAGTCTTATGATTTCAACTACAGATTTTGCTGGTAAATTTACAATAAATACATATTGTTGATCATTTCTTTTTATTATATAAAACTGTA